CATTATCATAATACATGTAGTAGGGATACTCCTAGAGAGTCAAACTATCGGATAAATTAATGGCAAGCGAGAGTCTCTACTTTTTACAGTAGAGTGGGTGGGTACGCAGACCAGCGTAAGTCATAACATTGATAATAAAGTGTAACCAATGCTGGTAATGGATCATGTGTGAGCGACCAAAGAGGCGTACATCGCATGTCCTGTACCACTATAACCACACACAAACGTCCAGGAGAATTTCACGTACCGATGGATCTATCATGTTGCCGGGATCCCTCATATATCTCACACTGTGGTACATAACCCTCGGAGAATTGCAAGGACCTAAATACGGCAAGAAAATCAGGGACATCAGGTGCAAGACCCGTTGTTCTAGTTGTCTAGACTGCACTGTGTTCTTGAAAATACTGAGCCTCCACGTTGTATCTGTTAAAGACGTGTGGCATTTTGGCTTCCTGTGTGGGTATTGTTTCTGTGGATTGGTTCGGAGCAATGTTCAGATGGTCCAGGCATCTGGCCAATTAATTATGGCAGTCCAAGCTAGTTGAATATCCGGATCACTTTCTCTCATCTGGTCTACACTCCATCCGCTTGCATCCATAAGCAATGCAAACGCGTTGTCCATTGCACACTGTGACAGGCATGTAACTTCTGCATGCAATTCTGGGAGAGCGCACAGTGGCAGGACGAATATTCCCGTGAAGTTGCACCATCAAGTCCTGTAACTACTTGTGACATGATCAATTCTGCTATGCTCTGATGCAGACTAGCAATAAGAGGCATTTGTCAGATACTAGTAACCATGAGGTGCTGAGACGATCTGCTATAAATGCTCAAATAATCTGTCATCTGCCTGCTCCAACTTGGCTGTCCTCCTGACAAGTGAAAACTGCTGGCGTCTTCAGGGCCATAAACACCATTATTGGCATTAATCCAACGCCTCCCTAGGCTAGGCCCTTGCTCCTCATCTCTGCAGCTTCTAACAATAGGTCTGGCACAACGAAAAACTAAACTTGATACTTGGAGCTCTTAGTTCAAGCTACATTTTCAGA